TGGAGATACTTTGTCAATATAATAAATTTGTTGATCTTTTAGAAGAAGAAAAAGTGACTAATATGATATTATCATTAATTTCTAATTACACAAGAATTAAAGAACATTTTGTTGTACTAAAGAATCTTTCTGGAGATCAATTAGTATTACCAGTTCAATTTGATATATCAAGTATAATAAATATCCCTACTTTATTATTTTCATTAGGACAATTAATTATTGGTGGAGTGTCTCGTGGGGTAATGTATAAATGTCTTTGTGTTATTTCAATGGGATTAAAAGATGCAAAATTATGGGAATATGCAAGAACATTAGGATATGAATCTGTAAAAACAGAATTTACTGATAAATTAATCCCTGATGATGAAGAATTACAAATTTTTGAAAAAATAATTCATAATCTAATACAATTATTTCATACTCATCAAATTATTAATAAAACTTGTTGTTCATTTGAACATGATAATATTATTGGATTAATTCGATTTACTGTTCTTCAATTATTTTATCAATTTAAAACAAATAAAATGACATTTTTTTATTCATGTTTAAATCAAATATGTGTTTGTTTAATTGGACTTATTGCTATTGTAACAGAACAAGATCAATCACTAAATACATTAATGACAGAAGTTATAAATTATCATGAATATAGTATTTCATTATTAAATGGTGAAATCGAAGTTGATATAATTGCTTTGCTTAAACAAATACATTTCATTTTAGATAAAGTTTATTGTATTTATTCACCGTTAAGTTCTTTTATTTCTGATGAATTGATTTCATCTCTAGTCGTTGAAAAATCTTTATTTACATTATACACTCAGTTAAAAGAAATTATTCATTCATTGTTATTATCAAATCACTCAATACAAACAATATCATATTCAAATTATATTTCTTTTATATGTTCATATAATAAAAAACTTTCTATTTTAATACAAAATTTTATTAACTCTTTCTTTATTTCTTATTATTTAAATAATGAAGAAATAATTATTCATTTAAAACATCCTATTATTTCTTTAATGCAAGTTTTATCTTCTTTTTCTAAAATTGCGTTGTGTCCTTTTCTTCAAGAAAGTACTGTCACAATTAGTTCTTTATTATATCAAAATATGATTTCACTTCATTTCTACTTAGATGCTTGTTTTATTTTTAGTCTCTTAAATAATACTTCTAATACTTCTTCTCCTATTATTCGTAGAATGATTTATATTTTTGGTAAATTACTTGAAATAATGAATAAATCTACTTTGTTTGAAGACTTCCCTATAAATGAAATCATTTTAATAATTAATACTATCGTTTCAATAACAGCTACTATATCTTCTTCATTAATTGAAATTCATCAAAGAATAAAGGCTATTCTTTCAATTCTTTTGAATTTCATAGAAAATAATTATTTAAATATTCCTTCAAATATTCAAAATCAAACAGAAATTAATATTCATTTAAGTATTGCTCAATATGGTCTCCAACAATTTACTTCCCATTGTACTTGTTTATTAATTTCTCATCTATTTGATGATTCAACAACATTACTTATTTGTGCCTATTTACAAATTATTATTTCTGAAATTATTTCCATTATTTCTTTGTTGAACCATTAAATGTGTTATATAAATTCTATATTTTTTTATTTCTTTTTTTTGTTGTTTGAAACTGTTCAGAACAATTTAATTTATTAATAATCTTGTTTTATTCATTACAAACTATTCTATTTTCCTCATTTATATCATCTTTTTTTAGTCTTAAAGTATTCTTGTTTTACTTGTTAATTTTATATGACTGTTAATGCATTAGTACTACCTTATTCTTCTGTAACTGGTCCGACTTGGAGTATTATTTTATTTATCTGTTTTTCTCTGTTTGTATTTTTACTAATTTCAAATCTTTCTTTTTTTTCCTATTCTTAGAATGAATTAGATACGACACTTAATACAAATAATTTATTTGATAGTTATTCAAAATGTTATCATTTATTTAAACCTATTCAATACCTCAAGAAATAAAAGATTTATCATCTGAATTGTATTTCTTTTTATCACAAAAAAGGATTGACGTTGATTGTTAAAAATAAACAATAATACTAAATTCAAATTCAGTCATAAAATTATTTTAAAAGAATAATGAATTATTTATTGATAATGTATAACAAAAGAGAAAATAGTTAATGAATAGGTCTAACTGAAGAAAAAAAAATCATAAACATATATATTGAATTAAGTATGTAAAAAATATAGGATGTACAAAAGAAGATAGAGAGGATTATGGAAATACAATACTACCAGAAGTTACATCACTTAAAGGTTGTTTTTGTATCTATAGTGTAATACGATCAATTACTATCCACAGGAATTGTCGAATTAGGAAATAATTGCTTTGACGGATGTACATCATTAAAATTAATTAATATACTAACGTAGTTACTAAAATAGAGATGAATATTTTCAAAGATGCTCGTCATTAAGATTTGTTAATTATAAAAATATCTAAATTGTTGGTGAAGATAGAATATTTGTGGATAAGCAAAACATAGCATCTGTTGACATTGAGAAAAAAAAAGATGATGGAAACTAAATAAAAATGGGAATATCAATGAGTTTGTTAACTAACAACAGTCACTAAATTATGAAATTATTGTATTGAATCTGTAGTTCATTAACCATTTATTGATGTACCAACATCAATAAGCAAAATAGGAAAGATATGTTTTGGTAAATATTGGCCATTCAAAGAAATTAATATAACAACAACAATTAGTAAAATAAGAAATGGTTGTTTTGGTTGTTGTAAAGAATTAAAATCAACTAACAAACTAACAACAATTATATCATTTGGAAAAGGATATTTTTATCAATGCAGATGTAAAGGTAATAATGAAAAATGGCTTTAAAAATAGTAAAATGATCTTTTGTATACCACTTAAATAATGAATCATCTATTATTTATATTCTTTTACTAAAAGTAATAACTCAAATATCTAAATCCTATTTTATAATATTGTATTTGAATTCTTTCTGAATCGAATCACCTTGAATGTTCTCAATTACATTTTATATTATTTCATTTATATTATATTTGATTAAAACAAACAAGTTCATTATGGATATAAAATATTTTGAATAAGACACAAAATTAATAAAAATCAAATAAAACAACTTGTATTTGAATATTTATTCAACTTAAATTTAAGATTGAATGATCGAGTAATCAATTAATCACTAGATAATCATTTAATTAACACTAAATTGTTTAATGTTCATTGAATAAAAATATAGAAACGTATAAATATGCTAAAATTCAACACCAACAATCTAAGAGTATAAGTACATATTTTATTTCAAGAACATCCCTTTTAGTGTTTTACAAATACAAAAATATTTTATTTCATTATCTTAGTCATTTTTAAATAAATAAACTTGAGTTAATTGAATTTTTATCTTAATAAAAAGATATAAAGTACAGTTACACTTTCATATTTTCATTTGGTCTTAGAAACAAGCCAATACATATTATATACAACCATATTTTATGAAACTAAATGAAAAATATTCAACTAAATAAAAAGTTATGTTTTATGAATCTTTTAAACCATTCTTCGATTCTTTTTTTTTAATTATTGTCAATAAATTCACTATGTGTGTATAAAATAAAACTTGTAGAATGTATGACAGACACTTTTGTTCATAGTTATGATGTTTGAACATCAAAATGAAGAATAACACATTTTTCAAAAGAGAATGATATTAAAAACAAAATAGGGTTATGAAAAAGAAAAGAAAGACAAA